GCCTCTCCCTTTCCTTCTCCCTATCCCTATCTCCCCTCTAGATCTCGGTGACTGTGAGTTCGTGTCCCCGTCTGCCCCTCCTCCGCCGCTCGCCGTCCTTCTAACCGGTGTGTCGTCTTCTCTGGGTGGCCCTCGTCTTCTCCGGCACCAGGCTCCGGTTGCGCAGGTACATCCCTAACCCTAACCCTAACCCCGCCTGCCACCGGCGAGCAGCTCTCTGCTACTCCTACCTGATCCCCTCCCTGCTCCCTCTCCGTCTCTCCCTTCTCCCTATCCCTATCTTCCCTCTAGATCTGGGTGATTATGTGAGTTCATGTCCCCGTGTGCCCCTCCTCCGTCGCTATCCGTCCTTCTAACCTTACTGTCGTCTTCTCTGGGTGGCCCTCGTCTTCTCTGGTACCGGGCTCCGGTTGCGCAGGTACATCCCTAACCCTAACCCTCCTCTTCTTCCATTGATGAATGGTTTATGAGCTATTCTGATATACTGTTTTCCTCCTCCTCCATGTCTTTACGTAGGTCGGTAGACGATGCGTCGTCCTCTAGCTGTGGCATAGAGCGACCAAGGCGGCCCCGCGCACCATCCTCTAGTATTGCACAAACAGCTCATTTATCTTATCTCCTTTGGTGCCTTTTGTTTTGTTGGATTTGGTCATTTAGAGTTTGCTAAGTTCTTGACTTAGAAGTTAGAATCTGTGTGTGATTAGTTTGTGGCTGAGTGTTGGTCTGTTGGATGAGGATGAGAAGAATTTTGGAGTTTGCTTAGTTCTTGACTTAGAAGTTAGAATCTGAGAAGAATTTGTGATCAGTTTAACAGTTTGTGAATCTGTGATCAGTTTGATAGTCTGTGACTTAGAAGTTCTTGACTTGTGAGTTGAGATTTTGAAATTTGAATGAATGAATCTATGCTAACTGTTTGATGAGAAGAATTTTGAGGTGACTTACGATCACCGGGCTTTGGGCCGGGCCGGCCCGGCCCGCAGTTTTGGCCGTGTTTCTCGAGCCAGCACAACACGAATTTTGGCTCATAGGGCCGTGCTTGGGCCGAAGGCCAGGCACGACGCCTGGAGGGGCATGGCACGGGAGGCACGGCGTGCCGTGCTTGGCCCGGGCCCATGCCGGGCTGGCCCGTTGGCCAACTATAGCGGTGCCGGCGCAAAGGAAAAACTGACGCCTCAGGAAGTGGATCGTACTAGGTGGAGATCATGATCACGACTCCCTTTTGGGTTTATGGGCTGGGCGCTGAGCCTAGCATGGACAGGCCGAGCCCACTCGGACCCAGATTAGAATTAATTAAGAAAATAATTAATAAATAGAGATAAGTTGCTTTGAGATGTGTGCAATTTTCTAGAGAAGGAGTATTGGAGCAGTTGCCATTTTAAAAAGGCTTTTGGAGTTGCTCTCAAGGAAAACAACTTAGCAAGAAAAGCTAGTTTTGATTTTTTTTATACGAGATACCTCTGCTTATATTGACAACAATTAAAAGTTCACAAAGTAAAAGCTGAAAATACCAGTTCACAAAAAGAACACCACAATAAAGTGGACATAGCAATCCTATTACAAGTCTAGGCAAAATCAGATTTCTCCAATATCCGAAACATTGCTCGTCAGAGTAACAAAATGGTAACAAAATCATGCAGCTACGGAGTAGTTTTTTTTTTTTCCAATTTGAAGCGCGACCAAACAAACCTGTCCCAAACAGACCTTCTCATACAGTACACAAAACCTTCGCAGCCTCGTTGGAGCAATCTCTACACAGAATCACCGTAACTGACGGGCCCACCGTACAGAACGGTCCGAAATTTCGCGAACCGCGAAGCTCCCCGCCCAACCTCTGACGTCTAGAAACATTAGGTCCCACCTGCCATTCACCCACGCAACAACGGTTCCCTCCGAAATCCGTCGACCCCGCCACATCCTCACAAAAGAAACACACCCCCAGATCCCCTTCCAGCCACGTCACCGATCCGCGCATCCGCACCTCCTCCATTATCTGCCACACATCCCGCATCCAGCGGCAGAAAGCTCCCATCACGCGGATCGTGCCTCCCATCTGCCCCCCAAAAGGCCCCGCCTCTATAAAACCCAGCCCCACACGCCTCCACCACCCACATCAGCACTGGTCTCCTCTTCACACGAGCGCACCACAACCAACCACCCGCTACTTCCAAGCAGGGGAGGCGACCGGCGGCGGAGATGTCGGGCAGGGGCAAGGGTGGCAAGGGGCTAGGGAAGGGCGGCGCGAAGCGTCACAGGAAGGTGCTGCGCGACAACATCCAGGGGATCACGAAGCCGGCGATCCGGAGGCTGGCGAGGAGGGGAGGCGTGAAGCGCATCTCCGGCCTGATCTACGAGGAGACCCGCGGCGTGCTCAAGATCTTCCTCGAGAACGTCATCCGCGACGCCGTCACCTACACGGAGCATGCCCGCCGCAAGACCGTCACCGCTATGGACGTCGTCTACGCCCTCAAGCGCCAGGGCCGCACCCTGTACGGCTTCGGCGGCTAAGTTAGGTCAGGGTAGTTGCCTGTCGTGGTGTCTCGCATCGGTGGTACTAGTTTGGTACCCTTCGTGTGTTCGTCTGGTAGTTGCTGTAGTGTCTGTAGTAACTGGTTGCTTTGTCCTCTTGGGTGTATTTTGTGTGGGTCTGTAGGAATGGCTGGTTCGATGGAAATTGTAATGGATGGCGAGGTAGGAAAATTACCTGGTTTGATTTGAAACTTGCTTGAACGTAGTGTTGCCACTAATTGGATTTCTCCCGATTGGTTTTCAATTGTGCAGCTTCGATCTGGTTTATTAATTCTTCCTGTTCAGTTTTAATCCTCTTTCGAGATCCCCAAACCCCAAAGTTTTCGGGATCCCCCAAGTTGTTCAGACCAATTTGTGGATTTTGCATCTTGAGTCGATGTTTGAATTCACTTATAAGCGAAACAGTCCTTAATTCATCGTCATCTTATCGTTGAATATGTGAAAATCGTGGTTGGAATTTGGCGGATGGATGGATCCCTCATCTTGAAATGTCAGGAAGGGGGGGAGCGAACACGAAGCAGTCAGAACTCAGAAGCTGGGACCAATAGGTACGTCCCCAAACCGCCCCCCGATCAGCAATTTCGTCGAGCAGCAGAGACACAGGGTCGCTGCTTCTTTGGTGTCGATGGCGCCCCATCCATCCCATTGGCATTGGGTGCACCCCATCCATCCCATTGATCCTGTTGTCTGCTCCAGACGGTGCACATGCTCCGGCGCTCCCTTGGTCTGCTTGGTGTCGAGCTCGAGGGATCCGCGATTCAGAGTCCTACGGAACAGGTGTCGGCGCGACGGGTAGCAACTGCAGCCTTGCTTGGGGATTGGGATTGTTGTCTTCCCGAGTCGGGCTCGAATTTCGCTTGCCTGCTCTATCGGTAATGATTTCCCTATCTTTTACACGTCCTTATCATGGCTTTCGTTTCAGGCCCTGATTAGATCCCACTCAAAATCCAAAATTTTTCAAGATTCTCCGTCACATCAAATCTTGCGGTATATGCATAAAACATTAAATGCAGGTAAAAAGAATAACTAATTGCATAGTTTGGCCGTAATTGACGAGACGAATCTTTTAAGCCTATTGAACAATTTTTACCAAATACAAACAAAATGCTACCGAAGCAAAAAAAAAAAAATCGCATCTAAACGGGGCCTCAGTGATTTATCGATGCTGAAAAGCTGCTGGGATCTTGTTGTGGGTGGTGGTTCCCTGTGGGTGGCTTTCGTCAGGCTCGGGCCAGCTTGTATCCATGGAACTTTTGTGGTTATCACACATTCCCTGGTTTGTCAGTTGTTTCAGATTTTGTTTTTGCTGCTTCGAATGCAATAAGTGGTGTTGACGTTGTGTTCGGCTTAAGCCTTGATCATTGAGTGCTCGACACCATTGTGGAATTGGTTTCAGTCTGATATATTGTCTTCTTAGCCCGAGTACCTAAACGAACTTCTTTAACTATGCCAGCAAGATGATGGAATACCAAGATAAAGCGAATGCATCCAGAAGCAAGTTTTGCAGAGATGAATGATGAGATTTCAAAAGCATTCCAGCATTGAGCAATGGAACTAAGGTATAAAAAACTTGGGCCATGTGCCCATGTTACTGAATCTTACTATCATATGAAACTAAATTCTGAATTTGCTACACTGCCATAGAAGACGCGAGCTGTATATGCTCTGGAAAATGCATACAGTGTGCAGTTTAGTGTATTGAAGCGTTGCTGACCCAGAATCTTGATGCTGTGGTGCTAGTGAAAGTATTATATTCTACCAGTCTAGTGCTACTCTTGTACTACTGATTTGCAACTCAGAAATCCCTAGACATTAGCAATGTTGATTCAGTATCATGCTCATGCTGTACTGTTTCTGGTCTAAATCAAGAAACTCAAACTTGAGATTCAAAACCAATTGGTTCTTCTGAAGCGCACCACACTCTGTTCTGAGTTGTGGTGCCACTGTTTACGCAGTTGTTTTTTTGAAACTTTAGCAGTAGTTCTGCACTTGTGCTATTTCATTAGAGCAGAGTGTCAAGGAATTGCAAAGAAAATGTGTATGTCTAATAAAAACAACTATCCTTGGGTCTAGGTATAGATTGCAGGTCATAGGGGATTGATAACTTTGGTGACCTTTACTGTAAAATGATATCTGTAACTGCATACGAAAGGATTATGTAAATAAATAATATGTGTCAAATTAAATTTCTGTCTTTGTACTGTACTCCCCCCTATAAATCACTGTGTTTAGTGACAGATACAGGAAGACCGAACCTTGAAGTACCAAAGTAGGATGTTTTTCTATTACAGTACCAAAGAAAACTATAACTCTACATGAAGAGTCAGAGCCCCCAAACTTAGTTGTCATCCTGTCCAAACTCCAAAGTGAGAACTGAGAAGTGATGTTATCAAACATATACAGAGTCAATGTGCAACTGAGAAGTTTCTAGTTAGATGAAGTTAAACAACTGTCTTATCAGTTCCATACTTCCATCACTTTGTTTTGTTGCACCATAGATCATCAGCTATGAACTGCATCCATGTGTTGTCTTTACCATGCTCATTTGAACCAGATGACTGTCCAGCATCCCCAACACTTGTAAACTGTTCTTGTTTTTCTTTAGCTTGTGATGAGCTGCACTCGCCTTGCTTTTGCTTCTGAAACTCTCCGAGTGCCACATTCTTCTTGAAGACGCGACACAGTGCATATGAGTCCTGTAAAATAACAGTACGAATTAACAAGAAATTGACTGCATTTCTGTTTCCTTAACAATTTAGGTGGGATGATTTTTGGTTTTGCACCTATGGAAGGAAGATTTCAGGTTGAACAATTTGGATGAAGAGTTATTGCCATGCAAAACTGAATGCTAGTAAGTTGCTTCTTGAGTGCTTCCTATCCCTCTACTGAACAATATATGGTTGTATGTACTGAAAAAGTTTCAGCCTGTTCGTTTCGTCGTAAACGATCGTGGATTATTTACTGCTGGCTGGTTTGGTGTGAGAGAAAAATACTGTGCCAGCTTATAATCCACGATCGTATACGAGCAAGCGAATAGGCTAAATTGTTCTACGTTGTTCCATTGGGAACTTTTTACTGAGTTCCATGTCCTCTTTGTTCAAATACATTCCATGTTTATCATTTGTTTTCTTAAGATATAATATCTAGAGTCAGAAAATCCATCATCAAGTACAGGTGTACAGCAAGAAATCATTAGTGTGCAGATTCAGAACTTATATAGCTAAAGCAAATCACTCATCTCCAGATAGTTTTACTGTGTACTTGGGTTGAATGCTTTTAGCTCAACTCTTCTTTAGTTCATAGAAATGTCTACTAAGAAGTCAGAGTTAATATCTTGCGGCTAGAACACGAGCAATCACTCATTCCTCCAAATAATTACTATGGCACTTGCTTTAGAAGTGAATTAGGTTGTCATGAATAATCTTTGTTCAACTTTTATTTGTTCATAGAAATTTCAATTAATGCCTTTTCTAACAGAACCTGTATTGCCTGATCTAATTCATATGGGGTGAGTCAGACATTTTATCGGTTCTGGCTTTAAGTTTTCTACTATTAAGTAAAGTAGTTGTGGGACATGGAGAATAAAGTGTAAAGCCACCGACACAACACTGGGTCACACCACACATATGTCTAAGCTTTAAGGTAGCATCCACATGCAACCGACCCAGAATATGTATACTCTGAAGTCTGCATCATTAGGTGATGGAGGCACCTACTAAACCGTGTACAATCATGTGTTATCATTTCACACCCCCGACCAGGAATTGGATGTTAAATTTGTCTTATCAAGAGCACCAGAAAAAGTGTACCATGTATGACCCATTAGATAACTGGAAAGAAACTTCTGCTGTACTTTGCAAGGGAACTATGGTCCATGGAAGCAAGGAATACTTTATGGCCACAGAAGGATACGGGGAGAAAAGGGATAAGGGCCCTAACTTTACATGCACTCCATGCATAAACAACGTAGCTTCCTAGAACAAACAATGCCCTAATTTGTTTTTCTGTATGTTTCAACGTGAATGTTTCTTTAGCATAATATCCTTGAAATTCTTGTGTATCTAAGGACATGGTTACTACAACATTGATTGATACAGAGAACAAACATCTTTTATTTGGGGATCAAGTCGGTTAAATTTTTGATACAATTGAATGCAGACTGAGATCACTAAATGCAACAGAAGCAACACACAAGGTTTAACTCATAATACTGATGCATAGGAACATGAATGAGTCACCTGAATCCCCATGGTGTTCTCGCATTCGCTTTCCTCGATGCGGTACTCATGCATCACCCAGTTGGTCCTCAGCCCCTGAGGAGCTCGACCCTTGTAGTAGACCAATGTCTTCTTCATGCCGATTGATCTGTTCTGGTAGTTGATTCGCCGATCTTTGCCTGTTGATTTCCAGTATCCTGCTTGGGTTGCGCGGTTTGTGCGGCATCCATTTGGATACTTCCTATCCCTTGGCCCAAAGAAATACCACTCGGAGTCTCTACTAGGCAGGAATGATTTCTCTTCCAAAACAAAGATATCTCAAATTTCAGTTAGGAGTGATGAAATCTCAGGATGAACAACTGAATGAACTTGGATTTCAGGTTACCTGCTAGCTCCCAAGGCTCACATTTGTAGAGGTCTACTTCAGGGATTATGTCGAGCTCAATGCTGAGACCATGGACCTTCCTCTTGAGGTAATAGTTCACAAGCTCCTCATCAGTTGGATGGAACCTAAAGCCTGGTGGGAGATCAGCCGGCGCCATGGCCTCCCAGCTCGCTGCCTCCTTTCTTGCTGATCTTTCTCTTTGTCTTTACCCTTTGTCTTTCCCTTCTGTTGCCGGCCACTGTGCTCTTTAGCTCCTCCGTGAAATGATTCAAAGCCTGCCCTACAAGTAGCCGTGTTTCCCTTTACAGGATTCTCTCACAAGCTCTGGACGTCTTACAGCACCGCTGGATCTTCTTTTCTTATCTTTTAACGAAACAAACTTTTATTTTTGTTTTCTGTATAACACACCTTTATGATATTCGTGCTAGTAGATTGTGTAGGGCTGTATTGGGACGTGAAAGTTGTCACGGCATTGCCCTCTTGTGCCGTGGGGGTATGTTCTTTTGTTCACTGAACTTGTTTTTGTGTTTCAGAAGCTTGGTCTCTTTGAAGTGTCATAGAAGAGAACAGGACTAAAGGGAGGGTGTTCTAGTAACATGTCTCTATGTATCGGGATCAGTGTTGCAAAACAGAAAGTTTATGGAAGGTAAAAAGAAAACTAAAGGTCCATGCAGCCATGAGGCCTTCCAGTGTCAATGAGCTTGCATTGCTATCTATTTAGCCATCTAGATCAGACAAAACTTTTGGCTTTGGATTCTGATAAAGAAGTACTCGAGTACTAAGGATCGTCATTCACTTTTTTAGTCTAGCATATACGTCTCTGGACATAAACTTGATTGTCTTCCCCCGTAATAGATATGATCTAGCTAGTTCCTTTCTTTCTTTAATGGATGTTTTTATAAACAATGATCACAGTCTCTACCAATATAACAGAGATTTTATTTGATTTCAACCTTGGTTGGGTAACAAATCGTTCTATGCATCTTGTGGTAACTCGCTGTTTTCTTGTTCTTCTTAACTTCCCCAACACTACAATGACAACATGCATTTAAAGAGGTCTGCACCTAGTCTTACCCAATTCTACAGAAAAGACATGCATCCCTTTCAGCTGCATGTGGTCTAAAGCAAATTTTGCAGCTAAATGTAGATTTGCAAATTGCTTTTTGCAGTTGATATGCCTGTTCAAATGGTGGAACAGTCCAAAGGTGGTTCTAAGGTGTTGTGTTGACATCAAGGGGCACTCTGAACATTGCAGAGGCAACACGCTAGCAACAAAGTTTCACGATGAAGATGCTTGTAAGGTAGACTTCTGAACTTTAGTTTTGCCGGATGCTTAGAAACATGATAGAATACAACACTATTATTTTGCTAACATCTACAGAAAAGTATTCTTCAGCATATTGGTTATCTTAAATCTGTTATCATGGCACTTCTCGGAGGGTAATTTGCTGTGACATGTTGCCAAGAATTCCAAGGTAGGAGGGTCCAAAGCATCTCTATCTAGCTCAAACTGGTCATAGCTATTGACCTGGAAGGGGATCTGATTGACATTCCAGAAAGGGCTTCTGCAACAGCTTGTGTTTAGCCTCTGATATTTACTTATGGAATAGTATTTCTTCAACCCTTTGTGAACCCGAGTGTTTCAGCTTAGCAAAGCATTGCTACTGACAACATGTGATCGAACTCCTGCTATTAGGCTTTTCCATATTGGCGAATCTATAGAGACCTTTATATGCAATATATATATGATATAATTGAAGTGCAGGCCTGGTGCAAGCGGTAGAGTCTTACCGCCTGTGACCGGAAGGTTCCGGGTTCGAGTCGCGGTCTCCTCGCATTGCACAGGCGAGGGTAAGGCTTGCCACTGACACCCTTCTCCAGATCCCGCACAGAGCGGGAGCTCTCTGCACTGGGTACGCCTTTTATATACGCCCTGTTCGCTTGGGCTTGTTTGGCTTATAAGCCTTACTTTTTCAGCCAACGAACAATATTTTTCTCTCACACCAAATCAGCCAACAGTACTTTCAGCCATGGTTTATCAGCCAAACAAGCCCAAACGAACAGGGCAATATATGATATAATTGTAAGAACGACGCTGCTGTTTGAAACAAGCTATACAGGCTTTCTGGTTATATATGTTGAAAGGGAAAACTGGTTTCTTACATGTGTGTGAAGCAGATATTTGATGAGCTGTGAAATATGAGCCAATGTTTTTGACAAATAATCTCCAAACTCTTCAGTAACATAATATTTATATTATAACATGTACAGTTAACTGTCTTTGAGATTAAATTTTGTTTTCCTTTTTTCCATTTTATTGGTAGACTGCAGATGCAATTACGTAAGATGAGCAGAAGCAGGTGCTAGCTAGATTTTGGAGCTTCATATATAACTTATAAGAGGACAGGTATAGTAGTCATAATTGTCTTCAATTTCCATTCATACTGCGCATTATATTTCATCTGACATACAGGCACAAGACAAAAACTATGCAATGGCGTAGCTACATCCAGTATACTTCACAGAAGAGAAAAGACACCACTCAAAAAGTACAATACATTCGATGGAAAACCAAAAAGGAAGAAAAGAAGAAAAACAAGGGAGCTGGTTGTTCCTATATACTCCCTCCATCCCAAATTATAAGTCATTCCAAGAATTTTGGAGAGTCAAAGCATTTCAAGTTTGACTAAATTTATATAATAAGATAATAATATTTATGATGTCAACTAAGTATCATTAAATTCTTCATCAATTATATTTTTCATAGTAATGCCTATTTGATGTCAAAAATATTTATAATTTTCTTTACAATTTTAGTCAAACTTGAGATGATTTGACTCTCCAAGATTCTTGGAATGACTTATAATTTGAAATGGAGGGAGTACTATATAGTATATTAAATATATATAACCCTCCTTATGAACTCAACTCAAGGAAGGATTCTGACAACAATCTTGAGGCGGCAACGATCCTTCAACTCCCAGCAATAGGATGGAAGCTGAAAACCCAAAGGATGCCTACTTATTGTGCTATGATCTTACACCTTGTAGACATGATCACGTTGGTTATTAATAGCTAGCCAGCGGCAGCAGCAGCATCTCGATCAGAGAAAAAGAAAGAAAAATAGTTATTAGGAGAATTTCTCAGCTGCATCATCTTTGAACAGATCAAAGGTTTCTCAGATGGCAAGGGCCACACAGGAGGTGCTCTCCTCGGTACCGTCCGCCGTGCTGGAGCACCATGCGTCGTCGGATATGAACTGCATCCAGGACTCATCCTTGTCCGCGTCATCGTCAGCTCCACCGGATGTGGACCCGACGGGCACGTCCGGCGACGGGGTCTGGTACTCCTGGCTGGCGCTGGTGAGCAGCTGCTGGCAGGCGCCCTCCAGCAGCGCCATGCTGCACTGCGCTTGCAGGCCGTCCACCTCGGTGCAGATGGCGTTCTTCTTGAAGACTCGGCATAATGCATATGTGTCCTGACCATGAGAATGCCAGCACAGATCGAGGAATTCAAAGAAAAAAAAGTCATTATTAACCAATAATATCTGTCTTTTTTGCTCGTTAACTACGACACTGATGCATGATTATGTTTGTACTACATGCTACATTTGCTATATCTCGTTGAACAAATTAAACACAAACTATGCATGCCCTTTACTGATTAATGTTTTTGTGTTCTGTTATTAGTATAAGAAAAGAGAGGACGTGATTTGCGCGCGCAAGAGAAAGAGACGGCAAGGGAAGGGAAGGGTGTGCCGTGTGCGAGGCTGATGATGGATTCAGCATGGAATAAAGCGGAAAGTGGGAGACACCGACTCTCTTGGCCATGAGAGCGGGAGGAGGGTGAGACGGTTTGCTTTGTTTTGCTTTGCCCTTTAATACCTCATGGACATGATCAACGCACAGCCCAATAATGGAGATCATGTCTGCTGATCTGATGGTGTTAGTAAAAAGGGGAGATTAGAGAGGATTCATACATATACATAGTACGGCTAAGCTACTAGACTGTAGAGACACGCGAAAGGAGAGCATTCAGAAAATTTCTGTGTGTCAATAAGAGGACAGAAGGAATTAAAGGGGCCCAATATGACCAGAGCCCTACTAGGTACCTAGCTATCTAAAAGGAGCGTCATGATGTATCTTTATACACTACACAGCACGTGATATATCACGATCATGATGAAATTCACGATCTAGCTATTTCAAATGTAAGCTGCCTAGCTTATTATTGAGCATACCGGCGGCCAGTTCATTGTAAGCTATACCTAGCTTATATTCAGCATAGCGGTTCGCTACCACTGTCACTGGGAGCTGGTACATCATGCAAAATCACAAAGCCAAATGCAACAAGCAGCTAGTAGCAGTATCTAGGTAAAGTAGCTAGCTAACCTGGATGGGCAGCGTGTCCTCGGCGTCCTTGTCGTCGAGGCGGTACTCGTGCATGACCCAGTCGGTGCGCACCCCCTGCGGCGCGCGGCCGCGGTAGTAGACGAGCGTCTTCTTCATGCCGATGGGGCGGCCGCCGTGGTGCAGCACGCGGCGGTCCTTGCCCGTGGACTTCCAGTACCCCGCCCGCGTCGCGCGGTTGGTGCGGAACCCGTTGGGGTACTTGCGGTCCCGTGGCCCGAAGAAGTACCACTCCGGGTCACGGCTCGTCAGGAAAGACTTGTCTGCAATGCATATGCATGTATATATCAGGTCAATTCAGATCATCCAGCACAAAAAATAATCACGAATTCACGATCGATCGGCGGATTGCATGCAGCAGAGGACGAGCGAGATGCATGGAAGAACGAAGACATATACGTACCTGCGAGCTCCCATGGCTCGCACTTGTAGAGGTCGACCTCGGGGATGATGTCCAGCTCGATCTTCAGCCCGTGAATCTTGCGCTTCAGGTAGTAGTTCACCAGCTCCTCGTCCGTCGGGTGGAACCGGAAGCCCGGCGGGAGACCCACCGGCGCCATGGTGACGATGTGTGTGCACGTCTCTCTCTCTCTCTCTCTTCGGCGCGGCGGTGATGAGATGAGCGAGCTACTCCTTGAGTACTAGATGACGTACTGATCGAGCTGGCGTGGCGCGCCGAGGAGTGCACTGGCCAGCGATCAGCGAGCTAGCGTGGCCAAAGACACCTTGCTTGCTCCGTTCCTCTTTG